GTGTCACACACACACACACACACACACACACACACACACACACACACACAGGACAGGAGCAAGGGACAGAATAGTAATATTTTTTAAATTAATGTTTAAACAAAGCAGCACACTAGTGATTCTTCAAGTCTGTTTATTCCTTTGACTAACTTATTTCTTCACTTACAACTTTCTATCCAAGTGAGGGTGATATGGCCACTGCTCCTGCCCATCAGCCATTGACATTGCCCATTGCAAATGGCAACAATCAATCTCCTAATTTTATTTTTTTAACAGTTGGCCAGCTTCCTCACACCTCTGGATATCATGCTTGGACTACTGGCTGCAGCAGCTCATGACGTTGACCACCCAGGGGTGAACCAGCCATTTTTGATCAAAACCAACCACCACCTTGCCAACCTGTATCAGGTAAAAATAAATAAATGAATAAATGAAAAAATAAATAAATAAATGCTGAATGAGGAGCAAATACAGTCAATTGCCTTAGGTGTTCAGCTAGCACTTTCTTCCTGTCCCAAAAGATGGCCCTCACTGAAGGTCAGTCAATCTCAGTGATGCAAACACATCCAAAGAGCCTGGTTTGAATTAGAACCTTCTATACTCTGAAGGCTAAGTTGGTGTACAAAGATATCCAAGAAAATCAGTTTGCTCCAAGGCTGCTTTGAAACTGTCCTAAGTTAACAGGATGCAAGAACAAACCTTCTGTGGCTTAACATATTGTCTCCATGGAGATTGTCTTATACCTATTGCTCAGTTGAGGTCTGGAGGTCTATACAAACAAGAAGTGAGATGGATGGAGAGAGACAGGAAGTGAGATGGCTGGATGAAGAGAGGCTATAAGCATGTAGAAACAGGAACTTGCGCTGTTTTCTGGGGAGAAGCTAATGAGGTAAACGTGGCTTTGGCTTGCTCCTTCTTCTCTCTGATCTCTCAGCATTTTCCTCTGCATCTGACTCCAGGTTTTTATTAGACTAATTAAGAATTCATTTACATACCAACTAATATGAAAACTTACATCAGTTTCTCATTATGTTAATCATAACAATGAAGTGTCTACCAAAATTGACACATTTGTACTTAAAAATAAAGGTTATGAAAGCACACTTTTGCATTTAGTATATGAAAAGACATACACAATATGGGCCAGTGAGATGGCTCAGTGGGTAGAGTGGCTTACTTTTTGGCTCACCCTGAGTTCAATCCCCAGACCTCACAAAGTGGCACAAGAGAACCAATTCTGGAGTAAATATTCTGATACAATCAAATTTTCCAGGATTTTTGGTACAATATGTAGTCTTGTATGATTTTAACCAGTAACTTTTTATCATATTGATCATCAGGGACCAAGGAATCAAAAAATGAATAAAATCTTTGTTCAAATTCAGGTGCTCAAAATGACCATTACCCAAAGTTAATTCTAGTTTGAAAGGGGTTTGAGGAGTTACTTACAGAGCATACACAGGTGTAATTTTTTAATATTAAAAAAAATAAACACCTGCATGATTCTTTGTTTCCAAAGATTTTAGTTGGTGCAGCAAAGTGGGCTACTGTTGTCTCCAGGAGACACAATGTAGACTGTGTGGTCTGGTCCCTGACAGGAAAAATGGAGGAGACTGGAAAAGGAGAATTTGGAAAAGAAGGCCCCAAAACATTGTACAAGATTCTATCTTCATCAGACATCTACTTACTGGTGTGAGCATCTCCTGAAGGCTAGAAACACAAGTCCTTCCATTTTAAGGACAGTGTTAGAGACAAACCAATACTCAGTGGTCCCATAAAGACCTGCCTGGTGTCATAAAGCTGGCTGAGATAAAGGCTGAAACTTATCAGTCAAGTTGAGATGTTACAGACTGGAACCTGAAAGAGAACATAAACTTAACTGTGAGATGCCTAACAAACTGATACTCCACTATAGAGACATTTCGTCTTTCAGTTACTCTATAATCTCAGTTTTGTTTTGTTTTTGAGACGGTATTTCTGTATAACAGCCCTGGCTGTCCTGGTATTCACTCTGTAGACCAAGCTGGTTTTGAACTCGGATATTTGCCTGCCTCTGCCTCTGGAGCGCTGGATTAAAGATGTGCGCCACCACCTCCAGGCTCAAATTCCAGTTTAATGTCCTGAAAGAAAAAGTATTGGCTCAGGACCCTGAAGACCAAGTTCTCAGCACAAACGAGATCTATTTGCCCCCAGAGGGACAAAGGGCAGGGAATAAGAGACAAAGACCCAAGTAGAGGACAAGGGAGAAGGGGAAAGGAATAAGGGAAAGAGGGTAGAGGTATTTGTGGGGAGATAGGACTGCCTCTGAGTAGAGGGGAGACAGATGTGGCACATAGGAAAATTATAGCTTAGGATGAGGTGTTTAATTTTAATTGGGCATGTTAATTAGGTGAGCCAAAGGGGGCTTTTGATAGCTGGACTTCAATACTTTGATAGCTGGACCTTGGTAGTCAGACTCAGGAGGAGGAAGTGACCAAATAAGGGAACAGACCTCCGTGGCTAGCTTGAAGAGCATATCTAATGGTTTTTAGCAAGGCAGAGGGAATGGGGGAGAAGGGCAAAGTCTGACAGAGCAAGTGTCCCTTCTAATGTCCTTTTCTCATCTCAGGCATTTTTGTTCTTTCTCCATGCATCATGATTCTCCGGGTTTCCAGCGTGTGTGAGGAAGGCCCCAGTATGGAGGGAAGAAATGATATCATATAGTGTATGCACTTAGCGAGGCATTAGGAACACATGCTATTTTAAATCTTTTGAAACACAGGGTACCTATGCACATTTTTTCCACTAAAAAATTACCCTCATTAACTTTACGATGAGTTACATATTCAGAAAATCATTAAGAACCATGATAATGAGTGAGATAAACAAATGTACAAATATTTACAAAAATTATACACTCCCATACACATTTAATCAACAAGAGTACCACAGAGGAGGTGAGCCAGAGCTATGGTGGCTGGGAGAACCCCCCGTGCATGCGTGACTTCGCTGCAATCCAAAGGGACTATGAATAGATAAGGTGTAGGCCACTTCCTCTCCTTCAGCTGGCCCTGCTCTTTCAGTTCTGATAAAGAAGATCACAGCATAACACCCAGCATGTGCCTTTGCACTGAGATAAGGAAAGAGCCAGGGCAGCTGGAGTGAAGGCAGGGTCAGAGGGCACCCCCCCCCCATTGTCTGAAGTCTGAACCAGATTCCTAAGCTTGACTTGCCAAATAGGGTCAATATGAAGACACAATAGGCACTTCCACCTGGTGTCTCACTCAGAATAAAAGCAGTCCGTGTGTCAAGGAAGATAGACCAAAAGAGACAAGAGCGTGTGGGAGGAAGTCCTCACAATTGACTCTCTTTGCCTCCACCCTCCAATATTACTCACCATCATACACACACATACGCATGCAGAGTCATAGATCGGCTCAGCAAGCTACAAAGTATGCATGGCATCAGATGTAATAGTGTAACAATGGTTACCACAATTATTAAAAGAATTGCTTTCGCTTTAACTTAAAATGTAATTCCTCTTGATAGATCCCAACTACACACTAGCTATGGACAGACCCCTCCATGGATAAAATAATGGATGATTCTTCCATTAAACCTTGTGACTATCCCTTTCTATGTTTAGCAGAAATATGTGTGATTTTTCTCAATCATTTCCTATAGGCAATTGGGGGGGATTAACATTTAAAATTCCTTTTTATTTTGAATGACTCTGAATCACACACACCAGGCTGACAGTCCAAGAAGAATGTTTCTATGACTGCCCTCAAATATGTAATTGCAAAGATTATTCATGACCTTATCATTTCTATAGGATGAAAGGTATTCTAGAGTATTAAATCCTATGAGGGAGGGTCAAAATTGATCTTCTGCTTCATTAAGTTTCCCAGGCCCTAGTCTGAATAGGTATTTCATGGACAGCAAGTGAATCTACATTCCTTGTTCTAAGATAACTCTTGTGTAGGTAAGATGAAGAATAGTCAAACAGGCCTTAAAGCAGGGTTTGTCAAAGACCAAGGATTTATTGTGAACTCAAGATGCTTCTCTTCCTCTGAGACCTCCCAGATGAGGCCCTTGGGGTATCTCCAAGGAGACCACTTGGTTCGTTAGGCGGGAGAGCAGGGCAGAAACTGTTATTTCCAGAGTCTGTTCGTGAGCAATTAAGAATGAAAACACAAGCTGGTTCATGCTGTTGTTTTTCTTCCTGTATCCTCCAGATTTAAAATGGGAAAACATCTGATTCCTTTGGATACCAGACTTTCAGTTTATCAACATAGTTCTAAGTATTTTCATCAAAGGAAGTATCCAATAAATAGAGAAGGAACAGCCAGGCACGGTGGCACAGGACTGTAATCCCAGCTACTCAAGGAGTTGGAAGCAGCAGGATTGCAAATTCAAGGACAGCCTGGGCAACTTAGAGAGACCCTGTCTCAAAATATTCAGGAAAAGGAAAACTGAGCCTATAGCTCAGTTGTAGAGAAATTGCTTGTCTATACAAGACCCTAGGTTCAAGCCCCATTTCCACAAAGAAGGAAGGAGGAAGAGGGTAACCACTATTAAAAAATAATAACAGAAAGGAAAGCTTCCTTGCATGATAGCAATTCAGCTGTGCCAGATTCCCTTTGACAGACAGCCTCTTGATTTAATTTGAAAACCTGTGTGGTGGTTTATTAAATGCCAGCAGTCAAAGGGATTGTTCCATCTCTAGGGCAGATCTTGATAATTCAGAAAAGGAAATAGGGAGTGGTAGTGTTTTGCCTCTGATGTTGTAAGGGTTTTCTTTTCCCAAATTAAAATTCTAACAGTTCTTGTTAACCACAAAAATGGAAGTTTCATCTTTCCACATTAAGATGAAGATTTTTCTTGGGTTCAGGATATGGCTCAGTTGGTTGTCATGCAAGCATGAGGTCTTGAGTTTGAATCCCCAATACCCACATCAAAGTCAGGTGTGGTGGTGCATGCCTCTAACTTCAGCACCTGGGAAACAGAGGGAGCAGGACCCCTGAGACTTGCTGGCCAGTCAGTCTAGGTGAAACTGCCAGCCCTGAGCTCAGCAAGAGAGCCTGTCTCAAAAGTAAGATGAGGAGTCATAGAGGAGGACACTTGAAGTTGACCTTTAACTGATACATGTATATGCACGGAAGAGTGCCTTACACATATACACTACACACACAAATAGATGATAGATAGATAGATAGATAGATAGATAGATAGATAGATAGATAGATAGATATAGATAGATAGAAAGATAGATAGACAGACTAGAGAGGAGGGAGATTTTAAAAGATTATTCTTAAAACTGCAAGTGTGTGGAGTCTGAGATATGAAGACATATTGCCACTGGGACAATGTGAAATTGCTGAACTGATACTCCTTCCAGGCAGATAGATGTGCTGCCTGGAAAATCT